TGAAGTGTAAAGAGTGAAGCTAATTCAAACCTTTCCATTTCAGATCTTGAAGTTATTTTAAAGGAAAGCTGCCATCCTCCTGCCCATGTAAATCAACTTTATCTTCTTGAAGAGCTGCTTATTCAATCAAGTCCGGTCCACACACCAGGAACAAGACACCAATCCCTGACTTCCTTGGCAGGATTGCCACCTACCTTAAGAAATACTGCTCAGAGATTATGCCAGATATTTGGAGTCCTGGCACTTTGGAACCAGTGAGGTATATGACATAACAACACCTGATCTGACTACCAAACAGAGAGTGTTCTGACCAACATAGCAAATACTTCTATGAAGGTTTTTGGTACTGGTTGTTCTTAAGCTACAAGCTTGAGCACCGAGGTGTCGTTAGTTGAGAGGAGCAACAAATCTTTCCCAGGCATCAAGTCAGAAGGTTACTGTGGTGTTAAGACATCTGTGGGATCTCTTCCAGGAAATTTCTTCTACTGGGAGATATTTCTGTCTTGGAGCAGGAGGTCTTTGTCCACAGAGAATGGCCTCTTGTAGGGGAAGAAGTGGTGTCACATTCAAAGTTGGGAGAGGCTCCTCAAAAACAACAAGGCCCAGGGGATGATTCCCTCACTAGCAGCACACTCCTGGAGATTGCCTGCAGCCATCTACAGCCCCTCCCACTTCAAGATCCAAAGGGACCCTGTCAACCCCCAGTCAGTAACCCAGCAGCATGCAGCCACTTGCTCACCTTCCCCCTCTGGTGGGATGGGAGAAAGAATTAGAAGGGCAACAGTAAGAAAGATTGTGCGTTGACAAAAGAACAGTTTAATGGTTCAAATAATAATAACAATAAATTGTAATGAAAAAGAAACCCATGAAAAAAATAGAGAGAAATAAAACACAGGAAGAAAACAAATCATGCTACCACTCACCACCCACCAACCAGCAGCCATCCAGTCCCTGCACAGTAATCTCTGCCCCACAACCAGCTCTCCCTAGTTTATATACTGAGCATGGTGTCACATGGTATGGAATGTCCATTTGGCCAGCTTGGGCCGGCAGTCCTGACTATGCTCCCTCACGGCTTTTTGTGCACCTCCTCACTGACAGAGCATGGGAATCTGAAAAGTCCTTGATTTAGTACGAGCACCACTTAGAGATGACTGAAACATCCGTGTGTTACCACATTATTCTCATGCCGAATCCAAACCATAGCACTATACCTGCTACTAGGAGAAAAATTAGCTCTTCCCCAGCAGAAACCAGGACAGACCCTCACTCCTTAGAAAGGGTGTGAGTGCCCATCATGAATCAGAACACTTACCTCATGAGACGACTGTGTAAGTTATGGTGTTGGAAACCTGTCCTGTCTTGCACGGAGAGGAAATTGTTGGAACTGAAGAGCCTTTCGTGTCCAAAGGTAAAAATATCCAATCTGTTTACCTTTTATCTATGCAATTAGTGGCTGATCAAGGTTGAGTGCACCATACGCTGTAAAAAAAAAAAAAAAAATGCTGACTGAATATACTGTTTTCAGTCTTGTATCCTCGGCATCAAGAAAGAGTTGCAGAGCTGTTTCCACTCTCTTCTGCTTTGTCCAGAGGGATGTGGAAAGTGTGAGCTAGTTTCAAAGGTTGGTGTTACCTCAATGATTCCCGCTGTCAACATCGGTCCTGTGACACTGCCTCATCCATACACGCCATGGATGCATCAGAAGGAAAAGACACTTGGACAAGAATCCATAAAAGAAAGAGCTGTGTCACACACTTGAGTAAATGAACAAGCAGAGAAATCAGCAAGAAAAAAAACTCACTACAGGTAACGTGGTCCAGATTCCCAGGGTAAGAACATTGTCTTCCCACAGCAGTCTAGACACCTTCAGTTTTGGAAAGTCAGGATTTAGAGAGGACTGACTAGGTGCCTCAGTGAAGCTCGCAAGGAGGAGGAAGATGAAATACACACTTTTACTTAATGGGGAAGGTTAAAGTCCACTAGGTAGGCAGCAATAAAGAAGCACAAGCACCCTTGCCAGGCGCTTCAGTGGAGACAATTCACAAAGCTAAGAATTACTTTAATAACGTGTGAAGACATCAGAACTTCGCTCAGGTGCCAAAGCCATCAGAACAAATCAGTCAGGGACAGAAAATGGCAGCACGCTGATCACGTGCCCAAATTCAGTCTCAATTTTGTCGTAAACCCACGTCCTGTTGCAGCGACACTCTGGTCCGCATTTGTTTGAATTGCATTTGGGGCAAGGATAGAAGCAGCCCAGACAGTTCTTCTCCAGGCAATCACACAAGTCGAAGTTATTACAGAGCAGCCTGCCATGTTTGTCGTACTTCCTTGCAGTTCTGCGAAAGAGGACAAAAAACGTGATTCTCAGAGAATGCTTCAACATGTTGAAAGACTAAATGAAACAAATGTGGAAAACATCTGTCCAGGAACAAATGTTTCTTCTTTTAACAAACTCACAGAGTAATGAAATACCAGCATTATAGCCTAACTGCAACAGCCACTGTTATTAAAAATGAAAGTGTGCCAAAAGTTTCTTCAATCACATAGAAAAGGTTTGTTTTCCCTGCACAGATTTCACGTGTAATAAGAAATGTTTCTGCAAAATACTAACGTTTTTATTAATTTCATTTATATCCAGTAAACAACATAGCAGCCATTTTTAAAAGAAAAATATGTAATAAATCAGCACAACATACTTGGGCTTATAAAACAAATCTTGTTTCATCTGTGACATGCATGCTTTCTTTTTCCGCTCTCTAGTTTCAGGGTTGAAGTCAGCTACCTGAGGTCCTGGATTTTGAAAGGCTAAGCTTTTTAATTGTTTCTCAACTTGTTTCTATGAATAAACAACAGAAAGTTTATAGTTAGTAAAATGAGAACAAATATTTATTACCTGCCAAATGTCCTCACTGACTTTCAAAATGACATTCAGATTAGTACTCTTGATAACTTAAAACAACACAGGTAGGAAAACAAAGCAAAACTCGACCTAAATTAAGAACACATCACTTAAAATGTTTGCTTGTCTGTTCACTGCATATTCTTGTGACCAACTGTGCATCCTGACAGCAGAGGGAACAACCATGACTGAATACATTACTACGATACAGTGGCACCAAGTTTGGAGTTGTCTGATGGGAGGCAAAATCACATATTATTTTCTTCAGCTTTATCCATAACATAAAATTATTTAAGCATCCCAGCTGGATTCACCCTTACCTTCGCTGTTCCCTCAGGTGCCTAGAACCCATCCTCACCCAAAGAATCTAGGGGCAAGAGAAATGTCTGGAGGAGCAACTCGTGCAGGAAGGATGCATTTGCACAAGTGAGGACTATGAAAAAAATGGAGAGAAACATAAAGAAGCTAAACTGAGCACGTTTTTAGAGAAACAAGAAGGAACATCGTCTTTCCTGTTTTATGGAATTCATGTTTGCAGTTAGCTAAAACTGCTGAATAGTCCAATCTGCTGACACTGACTTAGAACTACCCGTGCACTTGAGCGCACTAATTCACAAGGTGGTTGATGCTCTGCATCTCCAGTGGCATCGTCCTGAAAACCTACAGGACAATCTCATGCGCCTGTATTATTCAGACATTTCTGCTTTTCAGATTTTCAATGCAGAAAATATGCTTCAGCATCATCATTGTCCATGATCATAAACTATGAAGTTTCAAACTGGAAATAAATAATAAGCTATGGGGATAGTTCTTCCTTTAAGAGTACTTCTATTTCCCTACTTACTATTTAATTTCAGCTCCAAAGTGCTCTTAGCCCTCTAGATCACTGCACAACAAACTTGACTCATTTCACTGTTGTTATTACTGATATTTGCCTATTCACTCCAGCTTTTTATATTTGTAATTATGGAAGAAATTAAGGGCAATGGTAAGCATCTTGATAATAAAATGTTACTGGAGAAGTCATACCAAGTTTTTCCTTTTTCCTGAGCAGTCATTAGGAGGAGAAAATTTTCCTTCTGCAGATGGTTTCTGGGCAGAATCGCTTTTCTTGCATTTTTCTTCCACACGATCACTCATTTGACCACCCTTGTGAAATACATACAAATATACGTGTCAGACAGAGAACTGTAATATGTCCACAGAATTGTAAGTGAAGGCTTTAGGGTGACACGCTGGAGGGAAGGGACAGGCTGGAGAGGT